TAAAAATAGCCAAGTATAAAAGTGAAAATATTTTAATTTTTATGATTCCAAGAGTGCTAAAAAAGGTAATAGCAGGAGTACTAGGTTTGGTTTGCCTACAGAGGGCTAGCTGTAACTCAACCGTAAACGAAGCATCAAACCTAGAGGATCATTTTTATAAAAAGATGTTGTGCATGGAAGAGGAAGTGCAAATCCGTACTAATTTTATGGATAGGCTAGAGAATTTTAAATGCGAAGAAATATCATCTGATATTCTTAGTAAAGACATAGCCGAGGGACGAATAAATCTCTCCAAATTAGAAGAAAAACTGGAGATTTTCAATATAAGTGCGAAAGATATAGTAGCAAGAGCAGAAAACATTACTAAAATATACAATAATAGTTTTAGCGAGACTTCGGTGTATCATCAGGAAAAAACTGCACTGTTGCATAAAACAAATGATTTATACAATAAAATATTGAATGCGCTTCCATCGACTCTTAGAGAAAGTGACTCACTAAGCGAAGCAATAAAAGAGTTTGATTCGCACATGCTGGGAGTAATAAAAAAGTACGACGAAGCAAAGAATAAAGATAGAAAACTGCATGAGTTAAATATATTCAAGCTGGCAGAGCAGAATAAGCCCCTGGCTGCCCGTTTAATATATCTTCTCTTTGATGTGAAACCATTAACAAACCTTTACGATACAGCAGATGTATTATATCGCGCATTCTCAAACATGGAACGGTGTCTTTTCCTCGACAACTTCTGGAGATATGTACACCCTATTATAGAAAATAAATTAAAAGGTAAAGAAATAGGAGCAGAGATCGACCTTCTGAAACTCCTTGATAAGAATCTTTCTTCCTTATTCAGTACTTCTAGAATTGATCCAGAACAGGATGCAGATATAATGAGAATCTATCTTAACTTAGTAAATGGGGACATTCCAAAAGAAAAAATAAACCAATATAAGAATATAACTCCCAGACAGGTTATGAAAGTATTAATAATAGAATGCGAATTTAACATAGATGGACTTCTTATAGACTACAGAAGGAACAGCTTGCTTTCTAACATCGGAAAAATAATAATGAACAAAGGAAATCCAGCTAAGTACAGAACAGATGTTCATAGAGGTCTAAAAATAGCAAGAAGTAGACAGAAAGATCTGCTTAATCTTTTGCAGATTTTTTGGAATGGCCGTGTCAATGCATTTATTTCAAATCCCCCTGAAGAAAATGTTAAATACTTCTGTATTTACAATGATATCATAACTTATTACTTTCAAAATACACAGGATATCTTTATGTCTGTCAGATGGATGTACAGTCTGAATATATCCATCCCTCCATTAGAAGAGTCTACTAATAATGAGAAAAGATTCAATATGATGTGCTTCGATATGTCCTACATCCATCCCATGCGTTATATATACATGCGATGTGAGTATGTTAACGATCTATGCAAACCAAACATTAAAAGCGATAAAAAGCCTTTCTCGGAAAGAGATTTAGAGAGCAATCTTCTCAGAATATACAAAATAAGAAAAGAAAATAGCGACTCAACGCGAGCAGATCACATGAAGAGCTGCATCAGAGCATGGTTTATAAGAAATACCAGTGTGACTTACGGTGAAGAAAAGCATCAGGAGTATGATAATATGACTGAAGATTTCCAGTATTATTTGAATAAATTCTAGGTGTGAATAAAGTGAGAATGGCCAAAACAACTGAAGAGACAGCTGAATAAATTAGCAACCATCTATTAAAAGCTAATCAACTTGAAGCTAAATAGAATTCTCTAAGCCAGTTCTATAAACATGCAGTTGTTGGACTAACTCTCTTATCACTAAATAAATTCAGCATTTAACCATTTCTTTTCTACAGTAGTATTACTTCTAAATAAAATAAAATTCAAGATTAAATTTATTAAAATTATTGTATATATAGCTCCTCAGTAACAAAAACAGAAATATTTTAATTTTTATGATTTTAAAAAGCAAAGTAAAAGA